TTGCCTTCATTGTATCCCAAATATTCTGTTTCGTAGTTGCCTCATTGTTATTTTCTTTTAAGAAATAATCTAATTCCTCCTTAAGTCTGTTCATAAATTCTTTCTCTTTAATTAGCTGTGTATTTGGGGTCCATCTTTTCCCTGGTTTCTTCCTACCTTTCCACACTATCTGAATCGGATTGTGATCTCCCCATTCGTTCGGTAAAATTTCAATCTCTTAATTCATTTACTAACTCACCATTCATCCACACCGTATCAATTCCCATGATTGGTGAGGATTAGAGTAAAATGTAAATTGCTTTTTCTCAGGGTTTAATTTCCTCCACATGTCTATCAGATTTAGTTAAATCATAATTTCCTCACATGTTTTCGGTAGTTCTCTTTTTTTCTTCTTTTCCCCCCCGCTACTGTGATCTTTCTGGTGGTCCACAATAGCATTGAAATCCCCCAAGATACAAATATTCCTTTTCTCTAATTCCACTATTTTCTCATGTAATTGTTTAAAAAGTTCCTTTTGGTTATCGTAAGGGGCATAAATAATAGAATTGGAATTGATTTAATCCAAATTTGTGGCACCAGAATTCTTCCATTGGGGTCTGTCCAAATTAGCTCAGCTTTCATGTCGTCCTTCACATATACTGCTATTCCTTTCTTTTTCCTAAAATCTGCTGGCGACGTATACAAGTTCCCTAGCTTGGGGCATTGTAGATATTTCTCTTCTTCCTTCCTTATATGAGTTTCCTGTAAACATATTATATCTGCATTTTGTTTAATTAGTTTGGTTCGTATTCTTTTCCTTTTTATACTAGAGTTTAGGCCATTTATGTTAATTGATAATATTTTCTTTTCTTTGTCCATCACCTAATTGACTCTTGCTCTTTGTATTGTAGTTATTCCTGTCTCTCTTTGTGGCTGATTGTGCGTCTTCGGTTCTTCTCTCTCTTGATGTTGTATATTTTTTGAGTTCCTATGATTTCCATCTCTAGTCTTGGTCATCTTGCGAATTTGTTTCTAATTCATCTCTACTACTCGATTCTTCAGGGCCTACCAATCATTCATAGAATTCTTGGGCTTTTACCACGGAGTCTACTTTAATTTTTCTTTCTTCCCATGTAATTAGCATTCCCTCTGGGGTTAGCCATCTGAATATGATGCCTTTTTGGTTTAATTGGTTCGCCAAGAATTTATAATCTTGCCTCTGCTCTCTCACTCGTCTTGGGATTTGTTTAAGCACCAAGATTTCTTTTCCTTTATATGTAATTGTTTCTTCTCTAGAAATTTTATATATAACATCCTGAACTTTTCTTCTGGCAAATCTCACGTGGACCTCTTTTGGATATTTATGTCATCTTACGTAATTTGTGCTCACTCTATATACTTTGTCTAATTCTTTCAGGATATCGTCCTTATCTTTTTCCAATAGGTCTGCTAATATTCCTGCCATCACTTGTTCTAAATCCTCTTCTTTAGATTCCGTTATATTTTGGAATCTCAAATATGCTGCAGCCTTGTCCATTTCCAGATATACCAAGGAGTCGTCCATTTCTTTACTCACATTTTTTAGTTGCTCACCAACCATTTCTAGCTTCTTTTCCGTTTGTTCCGTCCTTTTCTCAACCTCCTTTATTGTTGATTCATTCCTTTCTAGTGCTTGCTGTATTGTTTCAATTTTTTGATCCAGCTTTAAGATGTCTAATTTCATTTCTGCCTTTAAGTTCCCCATCTCCTCTTTTAATTCATTTGTATCAGGTCTTGTTTCGGTATGATTTTTCACCATTATTTCCTGAAGCTTCAGCATGGATTCTTGTAAAGTAAGAAGGGTCTATTGGATATATTGGCATTCGTAATGACAGGTTGTTTCTCTCCAGGTAGAGTTTCTTCAATTGTCTTTTGTGCCATCACTGAGGGTGATGGCATCGCAGTTGTTTGCATTGAAGAAGTCTTCTTTCCCGTTTTGAACGTTGTATTAGTCAAAGAGGTCATTTCTTGTAAAATTTGTTTTTGTTTTTGTATTATACTAAATATGTTGTCCCAAATTAACATTCACTATTGAGAAGTATCAGCTATATATGGCCACTATAATTAATATATGTTACAGGGTTAACCTCTCTTGTCAATATATATATTCTCCAGAGCAATTTTAGAGCTATTTTCTAAATCAGATACCTGAATTTGTAGATCTTAATGATATATCAAATTCCTCTATTTAAATTTAAGTACTATTAATCTGTATATCTATAAGTGCTATAAAATCCCTAATCTCAAAATAGTGTTATAAAATAATATTTCAAATATTTACAAATTTAGATGAAAATGTATCAACTTTGCTATACAATAATTAATTAGTTAATATGTAGTAATCACAATTAGTCACAATTAATTATTAATATAATCAATATAATCATCACCTACAATCAAATATCTATACCTAAATAATTAATTAATTATCACTTCTCTTTTTTTTGTACTATAACCAAATATAAACTTAAATATTTACTAATGTATCAATTAAATCATATATAAATTACGTTTACCACATTCAAAAGTCAGTTGAGTTGGTGTCAAGAAATAATTATTGCAATCCACACATTTTAAAGGCTTAATGTGTTTTAATGTAATTGTTCAGTTCTTCGAAGTTCCTTCACCGAGCATGCTGGAAGCACAGACTTGCTGAGTAATGTCTGTGGTTTCACCGTCTCACCGCACTTTCCGCTGTAGCTGTTTCTCCTTTTGTTTAAAAGTCTTGCAAGACAATCTTTAAATTCATATAGTCTCTTTCTTGAATTAAACTTCTCCACTTACTACAGCTCCAGTCCAATAATCCAAAAAGAGACCAGTAAATTATTCAGTTTCATCCGTGGAATATTTAAAGTTGTAATAAGACTATTTAATTCCTTACTTCAAATCTCCCCCGATCTCAAGTTCGTCCTTTCAATTTTCCCCAAAATCCACAATTCAAATATTTCGAAGTTCCCTTAAATTACATTTGTTGTTTTTTTTCTTTTCTTCCCCCCACCCCCCCAATTATTGTCAGTCACTCAGGTCCCTCCGATTCTCTTATCTTCTCTATCCGATCACTCGCGTCCTTACCCTCTTCCGTCTCACGAGCCCTTTCGCTTTCATTGCCGCTCGTATCTGCTTTGGCCGCTGTTTTCGGGCTTTGCTCCGACTAAGGTTCTCCAATATTCAACGCTCAATCAGGATCGCAAATTCTTTCATTCGCACTCTTCGTTCACCACAGTCTGTTACTCACTCGCTTCCTCTTGTATGCAACGATCAAGACTTTAGGAACGCCATTACTGACAGTCTCTTGATGTCGGTCTCCACAGGATCTCTCTGCGTCGCGATGAGAATCGCCTTTTCCACACTGCGACTTGAGTGCCCCACACTGGCATGCTTCTCTACAAGATGCGTGCACCCCTAAGGGTCACTCCAACAGCAAGAGGAGATAGCATGAAATCCAGAGCGAGCTTCAGCACCTCCGTTCATTCATATCTCGTCACGGGAAGTTTTTGGGAATTATACTATAGTGCAGTCGCCTTACTTTGGTTGAAAAAGTGGGTAAACCTGTTGAATAAAAGAATCTTATTTCTAGAAGGCCATGATTTACAGAGGGGGTGGCATGCATTTTTATGGGACACTGGAAAAATTAAACAGAATTATTTCCACAGACATAAAATTAGAGAATCCTTATTGGTTAATTGGAATAAAATAAAATAAAAACATTATTTAAAAATCACAATCTGGATCTCAACAATGGAGGCGATGATACATCCAAATAATCTACATCTTAATAAAATGATAAAATACAAAGACCTTCTTGATGCGCAAGGAACTTTAAAATCATGGCAAGATCTCCAAGAACAAGGGCTGCAAGTAGACCGGTGGGCTTACCTGCAAATTCAAAATAGATATAGCCAGGACAAGAAAAATTTTGGAATTTATGCTAAGGCACAACAATTAGATAAAATCCTATTAGGCCCAGATTTAAAAAAATAACTAAATTTTATAATTATTTATTAAAGATAGAATTAGAAGAGGAAGTAGTTAAAGGCAACATGATAGCTTGGAGTAGAAACATAGGACGTAGCATCACATTATTAGAATGGGAAAAGGTCTGGAAAAGGAATAATAAAATTACAAAATCAGCAACATATAAAGAAAATGCCTATAAAATGTTTTATAGATGGCATTTCTCGCCCTCGATAATAGCGAAAATGTCTCCTAACATGAATCCGAATTGCTGGAAATGTAAAAAGAAACACGGAACATTCTTTCACATGTGGTGGTCCTGTACTGAAGCCCAAAGATACTAGCACAGAATAAAAAAATGGTTAGAGGAAATAACGGCGGAGCGAATTGAATTAAAACTAGAATTCTTCTTATTGGGGATATTTAATAGACAAATTTCTAAAAAAGTCAAATATATAATACTGCACATTCTTACTGCAGCTAGAATAACCTTTGCACAGTGTTGGAAACAAGCAGATATTCCAACAGAGGAAATGGTCATTCAGAAAATAACAGCCTGTGCAGAGATGGATAAGTTAACCTTAGCACTTAAGGAAAAAGAAACATCAGAATATTATAGAAGCTGGGAATGCTGGTATGACTGGATAGAACAAAAATAGAAAATATATTAGTAAACAATGTATAATGTAAAAGAGGTAGTAATCATATACTCACAATAAGATGTATTTGTAAATATGTCACCAATATTGATAACAAACAAGGAACCATAGACTGTCGATAATAGAATTGCTAGGGTTTTTTTAATTGTTTTTTCTTTCTTTCTGTGTGTTGTGTATATGTTTGTTTGACATTTTAGTTGTATAATCAATAAAGTTTGTTTTTTTAAAAAACAATTAAAAAAAACAATTTTAGACAATATTTTTAAAGTATCTGATGTTAAAATAGTTATCTAGCTCTGCAGATGATCGATCTATCTATCTATCTATCTATCTATATTTATTAAGGGTATGTGTATCTGTTTTTGTTAGATTTGCAGTGGCTCTGGAATGGTAGATCTACGAACAGGAACTGTTGTGACTGATACAGGCCGAACAGCTCTTGACAACAAAACTTCATTAATTAACACTATGCCTCCTCATTCCTCCCCACGGTCACGTGATTATAATCCATACAATTATTCTGATAGTGTTGGTTCTTTTAATAAATCAGCTTTAAAAGAGGCTATGTTTGATGATGATGCGGATCAGTTTCCTGATGGTAAGTCTGTCACAAACAAAATTGGGGAATGGCTATATTGGGAGGAAAAATACAGTCAAATGTAAATAGAATTATTATCTGAAATAAGGGAAATAAGTTATGATACATAGCAGGAAAATACGATATTCAAGAGCTTTATTGAAAACAAAGTTTTATTTATTATAAAAACTAAATGTTATAACATCTGATATGCATCTCTTAACATTTCACTGCCAGATTTGTTCCCAAATAAGACACTTTATAAAGATAATAAACAAAAAAAATGTACTAGTAGAAGTTAATGGAATATATACTTAAGAAAAAAGCTTCTTCCGGTAAAAGACATTTGAATGTTCTTATTTTATTTTCCAAAATGAAATTTAATTCAAAAATACAGTGAAGAAGATTTATTAAATAATAAAAAGTAAATCTCATCAATTCCTATTCAAAAAGTATAAAGGATATTATGGCTTTAGAAATAAATAGCTACCTGAATAATGTTGATTTCCAGTCCCTCTCAATACATGTTATGCATAATCATTTTTTTATTTAGGTAAAGTTTATATAGACAAAATGTGTATGACCAAGTAAGCAATCTAATATACTGTATGTTATTAGAGTGTTGATTAAAATAATATAGTATAATAGGAATAAAATTCTAATGATACTTTGTCAATGCAGCCTAGGAAGAAAACATGGCATATTTTTAGTGTTTTTTAAGATGTATTTTAAGATAAAGACAAAAAATGTTCTTAAACTGGGGTGATTATCCTCAAGGGGTAATTTGGGCAAATTTTTTGTTTTTTGTCTATTGTTTCATAAATATTATATACCTTCACATGTAAAGTAAAAAAAAGAATGGTTACTTTTTTTCCTAATTAAATAATTTTACTTTTTCTTTTGTTACAGAACCTTCCCTGGACCATTCTGATCGAGTTGCAGAATTGCTAAAGGAATTATCAAACCATAACGAGAGAGCTGAAGAACGGAAAGCTGCTCTTTATGAGCTAATGAAATTGACTCAGGAGGACTCCTTTGGTGTTTGGGATGAGCACTTCAAAACAATTCTTCTTTTGTTACTTGAAACTCTTGGAGACAAAGAGGTAAGTCCCAAAATGGAGAAAGAACAATCTTATAACAGCATGGATAATAAAGTTACTGATGTTATAATTATTAAATGTATAACTTGCCTTTATTTTTAGACAACTCAAAGTGGCATACATAATGTTCTGATATTCTCTTTTGGCCACAATGATAACATTGTAAGCTGAGTTGATCTGAAAGAAAATAACTACGCCAAAATCTTCCATCGGGCTTTCATAACTACAGGAGGATTAAAATTCAGTCTTTGTTTTCCAGTCTAATACCTAATGTCCTTCTTGAATCTGTATGGAAATTCTTAGTCATACAGGTCATGGTTGTCCCAAAGATACTTTTTCAAAGCTTTTTTGTTTCTCATTCAGAATTGAGGATGCTTCTTGAATGGGAAGTGAAATGTCTTTAAGGAAAAACAATGGAAGTCCAGTTACCTTTTTAAAAAGCATCTTTAGGTCCCCCTTGAACTTACATCAGGATTATGAACTTTAAAAACAGTGCATATTGCTTTCTTATATCTGTACTCTTTAATACAGACAATAGAATACACTTTTCAGTATCTCGGTCCCATAAAAGTAAAGTGACTCTTAGTAAATGTATCACAGTTACACCTTGCAGTTACAATAAGATTATAGCAACTATTTTACTAAAATAATATGTAATGTAAAAATATTAAATAAATGTATACTATTCATTATCGAATATGGTTGTGAAGAAAAAACAATGCTTGGAATAAACTTTCAAAAACCTAATACTATATTGTTCCATTATCAATAATAATGAGTTAGAAGTTATATGAGCAAAACTAATATTCCTTAAACTTTCAGTATGCAATTAGAGCCCTGGCACTAAAAGTCCTAAGAGAGATTTTAAGACATCAACCAGCAAGATTTAGAAATTATGCAGAACTCACAATAATGAAGACTTTAGAAGCTCATAAGGACCCTCATAAGGAGGTTTGTATACAACTTTGTATTAAACTTAAGGATGTGTTGAAGTAATAATATTGTATTCTGTGAGGAAGATAAAGAATATAGGCTATTTTTTTCATAAAACAGATTTCAGAAATTTAAATGAGAAAATCGTATTTCCTATTCAAAACTATTCAAATAATACAGATTTTTATGAACAGGGGACATAGAGATCCTTTAACATCTGCTTTACAAGATATGAATATCTTATAATCTTTGATCATGGACCTCCTTGCTAAACAAGATCTTTATCATTTTCCCAATAGCATAAAATTGTGTACAAATTTTAAATCCTTCTAGGAATATTATTGTCTGTTCTGTCAGTTTTATTATTAAACAATGTCAGTATATTCATTAGTTTTGTTTTTGAATGTTGAAAGGCAGTAAATGTAGCAATTAATTACATTTCCTCCCATGAATTCATTTTAATTGGAAATAATGGATTAAGATTTAGATGTATTAGAAATTTAAATATATACATATCTCATATTTTCTAGGATGATTTTTTTTCATTTTAAAATTATTATAGTTACAAAGTCAATAAAAGTTGTTATAAAATATTTCCTAGATATATTAGTTCATTTTTCCAATATATCCAGAAAAAAATTCAAGTCACATTTTGTTTAAATATTGATACTATTGAAATGCTGTTTTGACAGAAATTTCTGTTGTAAATATATTGACATTTAATAGTCTACATATTGTAGTACTATTAACAAATAAAACTATGCAAGTGTAATATTATTGGATTTCTATACTTTTCTTTTCTTCTATTAGGTGGTAAGATCAGCTGAAGAGGCTGCTACTATGCTGGCCACATCTATTAGTCCAGATCAATGTATCAAAGTACTTTGTCCCATCATTCAAACAGCAGATTATCCTATAAATCTGGCTGCAATCAAAATGCAGACAAAAGTTATTGAAAGAGTACCTAAAGAAATTCTTGCTCAGCTTTTGCCAGAGATAGTTCCAGGTTTAATACAGGTAAGAAGATACAGAACAATGAAAAAAATGTTGCAAAACTATTTTTCCAAAGATTATTCGGTTTTTCAAGTTATCTTCTAACTTAATAGAATATTTTGCTGAATTTTTTTTCAAACATATTTTAGGATTATCAGTTTTATTTGGATTGATATGCATTTGAATTATTTCTTTTCTAGGGCTATGATAACTCTGAAAGCAGCGTTCGAAAGGCATGTGTCTTCTGCCTTGTAGCTATTCATGCAGTAATTGGTGATGAGCTGAAGCCACATCTTAGTCAACTCACTAGCAGCAAAGTAAGTGACATGCCATATGAAGATCTGATTTTGATTTTGATTTTTTCTAATCTGTGGGGATTTGAAAAAAAGGTGTGGGATTTTAGGATCAGAAATTTGTTCAGAATCTCATTTTGGCTACTATTTGAATCTAGTACTCTTTTGATCCTTGTATTTTTCATGAATTATGCTAATATATATGGAAAATGAAATGTTATAAATAGACTACAATATATAAATGAATATGGTTGTTGATACAGTCACTATAAGAACTTGAATAAAACATATAAATAGTTTAAAACTTTACAGCAAAATCATGGTACCTTCATGCAGTTTTATTATTTCAGACTGTAAATTGGAAAGCTGATAGTTCAATTCCTAATCCTGCATACAAAAGCATCTTATAGACATGTAAAAAAACTAAAATATCATAGTTTTATGTTGTAAGATTTGTCTGTTACATATTATTTTTCTTTCAGTGAATGATAGGCGTCAGTTATCCAGTTCTTCAACAATAGCTTGAATTGGGGAAATTATCATTCAAGCCAGTTGTCTTCAGTAATTTGGAGCTATATGGAATGATAGACAACTTACTAAAACTGAGAATAATAAATTACAGTCAATGATTTAATCAGCATGCTTGAAATAAAAGTTGCTAAAATGTTATAAAGAAAATACAAGGCATGACAGCATCCACTGTTCTTATAGAATGAACATTGTGCCCATATATTTGCTGCCCTTTTTTCTCTTCAGTAATTAATTTTAGATTTAGAGAAAACAACTGCCATTATATCATAGATGAAATTTACCCTATAAAGCAAAATGAAACATAGTTAATTAACTAGAATGCAAAAAGGAGGTTTGGAGGCTCCGAAGCTATGGAGGAAGCATTTTTGGATGTGCGTGTGTGTACTGTAGCAGTACTATCCACAATTTTTTTACGGTTATTTCGTACCAACCCATGTGGCCCAGTACGGTGTTAAAAGTTAATATTTCAGAAATGTTAAGATAGATAGAAATCTTTATTGACCAAATGTGATTGGACAAACAAGGAATTTGTCTTGGTGCATATGATCTCAGTGTACATAAAAGAAAAGATATATTCGTCAAGAGTCAAGAATCATAAGGTACAACACTTAATAGTAGTCATAGGGTACCAATAAGCAATCAAATCATACTAGGAACAGTCAATATAAATCGTAAGGATACAAGCGGCAAAGTTACAGTCATACAGTCACAAGTGGGAGGCGATGGGTGATAAGGGGTGATGAGAAGATTAACAGTAATAGTAGTGAAGACTTTGTAAATAGTTGAACAGTGTTGAGGGAATTATTTGTTTAGCAGAGTGGTGGCTTTTGGGGAAAAACTGTTCTTGTGTCTAGTTGTTCTGGTGTGCAGTGCTCTATAGCGTCGTTTTGAGGATAGGAGTTGAAACAGTTTATGTCCAAGATGTGAGGGGTCTGTAAATATTTTTGCAGCCTTCTTTTTGACTCGTGCAGTATACAGGTCCTCAATGGAAGGCAGGTTAGTAGTAATTGTTTTTTCTGCAATCCTAATTATCCTCTGAAGTCTCTGTCTGTCTTGTTGGGTTGCAGAACCAAACCAGACAGTTAAAGAGGTGCAGATGACTGACTCAATAATTCCACTGTAGAACTGTATCAGCAGCTCCTTGAGCAGTTTGAGCTTTCTGAGTTTGCGCAAAAAGAACATTCTTTGTTGTGCCTTTTTTTATGATGTTTTTGATGTTAGGTGTCCATTTTAGGTCTTGTGATATGATAGTACCTAGAAATTTGAAGGTCTCTATTGTTGATATTGTGAGAGTTGGTAGTAAGGGAGGGTTTCTCCTAAAGACTACTACCATTTCTACGGTTTTGAGTATGTTCAGTTCCAGATTGTTCCAGTCACACCATGAGGCAAGTTGTACAACCTCCTATCTGTATGCGTATTCGTCATTGTCTTGAATGAGACCAGTCACTATTGTATCATCTGCAAACTTCAGTATTTTAACAGATGGATCGTTTGAGATGCAGTCATTGGTATATGGGGAGAAGAGAAGTGGAGAAAGCACACAGCCTTGGGGGACCCCTGTGCTAATTGTACAGGTATCAGATGTGATTCTGCCTAGCTTCACCTGCTGCTTCCTGTTTGTTAGGAAGCTTATGATCTACTTACAAGTGTGTTCAAGTACTGCTAGCAGGTTTAGTTTAGTTAGAATAATGTCTAGAATGATAGAATTATTAACTTTTAACACGGTACTCACAGGAAATTCCCTCCCACCATCACAGTTTAATTTTGCTTGAGATGCAGAAGAGGAAGAAATGTTGGAAGTGGGCAGGATGAGGAAAACTCCTTTCAGAAAGTGGTCTGCAGGTGGTGGTGGTGGGATTTTCCTGCTGATCATTTTTTGAAGGAGGAGCCCTGCATAGACACACATCCAGAAATGCTCTTTCCATGGCTTTGGAGCCTCCAGTCTTGCAATCCTGTGCAGGGAAAGCAGAGGTTTGCTCCAAAGCTGCAGCAGGGCATTGCACAAGGAGACCTCCGCAGGTATGGTAACATTTCTGAAATGTTAACTTTTAACACCATACTGGGCAATGTGGGTTGGGACGAAATAACCGTAAAAAAATTGTGGATAGTGCTATTACAGTATCCTTTGGGAAGCCAATGTGAGGCGCGTCACTTAGCCTCCTGCTGCTGAAGTGGCTGTGCTTGCCAGAGGCAGTGGCCAGAGCGGCACCACTGAGGCAGCTGTTCCATGGACAGAATTGCCTGCTGTAACTGTCACCATTAGGTAAGAAGGGCACGAGACATGGGCGTGTCGCTTGGCCTCCTGCTTTTGCAGCCACAATTGGTAGCAAAAGTGACTACACTTGCTGGAGGAGGTGGCCTGAGCTGCACCCATGAAGCAGCTGTTTTGTGGATGGTGGGATAGCCTGTGATGCTTTGAGGAGCTGGCGCAAGGGGCCGCTTGCTCCGCCCCCACCTCATACGGGTACATGCAGGGGGAATAAGACTTCCCAAAAAATAAGGCCTAGCACTTATTTCGGAGGACAAAAGAAAATAAGATCAGGTCTTATTTTCAAGGAAACACTGGTAATTTAGAACTGAAAGCATCTATCTCTATACTGTAAATGTAAAGATGAAAAAAGAACTGTTATCATGTCTGACCATTAATTAAGTTATATTGATCATTATATACAATAAACTACTGTGATGAGAATATTAATATGACAATTATTGCCAATAAGTTTATCCTCCCTTAATCTTCTTAATCCTTTGAAAATACAACAATTGTATGTTTTATAGCTCTAATTAGGTTTCTTTCCTCTGTATATATCATTCCATTACAAATCTTTTTCATTGTTCTTTTGCTGTTCATTGTTCATTAACTGTTAGTTTAAAAATAAAATAAAAATGACTTATTTAATATGAAATATGTTGTAAGAACTAATCATATTATTTACTAATTTAAATCTGCAGATGAAATTGTTGAATCTTTATATCAAGCGTGCACAAACAGGATCTGGAACAGGTGATGCCTCAGCAGATGTTCCAGGACAAAGCTAGTAATCCTGAAATCCATCTTGTAACTAAGAGGAAAGACACATCATAAAAGGAAAACTCGCAAATGCATTTTTAGCGCTTTTCTCTCTCTCAATCTTTTTTCCCTTAATGAAGGGCTGCTTAGCCTGCATGTGACTGTTCCAGTAATTCCATATCTAAGGGAAAAGACAGTATTAATATCACTTGACTGAAGCAAATTATTTTTTTTAACTAACACATCATGTTTTCTGTTTGCACTCCTCTGTGTGTCTTTCCACTAATTTTTGTTAATGTACTTTTTTTTTCAAAGAAACTAATTAAAAAGGAATGCTTTCAAATTTAAATTTCCTCATTTTTACTCAACTGCAAAGTAACATGGCTTTTCCTTCCTGGTTTTAATAATCAGATGCTTCTGCTTGGATGCACAAAGTGGGAAAACAGAGAATGATGGATTGAGCTCAGCCCCAACTAGACCAGTCTCATTACCAAAGAGACATCTTCATATCTTATCATAATGCCAATAGCAGCAGCAGAAAGCAGTGCTTGATTGATCAATCATTGAATGTTTGTCATATAAACAAAAATTCAATGCAGATTAGGAGGACAACTCTGTCCTTCTATATGGAAATCTATATAGAATATAGTATGGCAAAACTGGATTGTATAGCATCCTACTTTCCTAGATCAGGGTAAGTAAAATCACTTAATGGATATGAACCTGTATCACCACCTTCAAGCAAGATGGTTCGGAATAGAATGCTTTGTATCATTTGTCAGTATAATACTTCCTCTCAACCTAATTATTGAAAGCAGTACTTCTGTCAATCTCATTTACATAAGAATATATGACAGGACTGGAATAAATTGTTTCACAATGATATGTTGCAAGATTGGAGATTGGTGCACTGATTATTTTAAAGGCATGGGAATGGGAAAAACAAGTATTACAGATTTTAAAATCATAGTTTGGAGTTTAATTTGAGTCAGGAAATGGCCCTAAATTCATTGCATGGTTATTTTAAGATTATGTTGAACTGGTGTTATTGCAGCCATCTGGACTATAAGATATGGAAATGTTTTCAGGTTGTTTCTGTAATCGTTTAAAAAGTTTATTGTGAATAATGCATCCTTATATTTATGGACTGAATAGTCAAAGAGAGAATGAAACTAAAACTACTTCCATCAGACAAAAATACCAAGCTTCTTAGCTGGGGGGTGAGAATAAAATCTGTACCCAGATGGAACCCACAATACTTGGAATAACTCATTGTTGAATTATCTTGTTTTAGGGATTGTGTATTTACAGGAGAGATTATAGCAATGCCAAGGATGATGGGTTTTTCTGCTAGATTAAGATTCTGTCTACCTCTTCAGGGTAAATACTTTTGACTAAGCTGCTATCCATAATGTCTTGTGAAAAGCATTGTCTATAAAATAATTACTTTTATTTTATTTTTCTTCTTTTGCTACTACCATATATGTTCAGTATCTAATACCTTAATATGCAGCCAAATGCTGTTTTAAAAAGAACTAATATCACAATTTGCTTATTACTTTATAATAAACAGAATACTTGCAGATATCTAATAAGTTACTTTGACTTTTATCAGAAATTATTCTGTCTGGAAAAGATAAAATGTAGTTACTGAAAATGCAATTTGCTATTGCAAAAAGCTATGTTGGGAAAATACTTTAGAAATAAATGTAAGGGGGAAATTACATTATTACTCACTGACTTTTAGCAGATGCAAATCAGGAAAATAGCCTTCCTCATTTTCTTATGTGTAACATTCTTGTTTTTACTGTTCAAGTACAGTGTGTATTTATAGCTCACTGCTTACCATTGTGGATATACAGGCAATAAAGTGTACATAGCATTACTTAAAAATTTAAATTTTGTATCTATCTGTTTTTCTGCTTTTTTTTTAGTGATATTGTAGGAGTAATGCATTATAGTACTGGTAGTTTATGTAAATACATTGCCTAGTTTTAAACTAAACCAATGACAAGCAATAAAAAGCAACCCAGAAAATATAAGATTCTGTACTAAAACTAATCCCATGTTGTTGTTTTAGACTGAAACAGGGCTTTACAATTTACAGCCTAGTAACTGAATAGCAGAAGAGCTACTTTGATATAATGGTTAAAGGTATCAAGCTAGAAACTGGAAGACTATGGATTTTAATCCTACATTAGACCAGCTGGATGATTTCAAACATTTTTTAAAATAGTAACAAGAAAACTATATGGACTTGTCCAGACAGTTGCTAGGTTAGAAGTCAACACTGCTTGACCACATGCAGGCCCGTGCACACACACACACACACACACACACACACACACACACACACACACACAGCTGGGCAGCAAATACTGTAATTAAAGAATATCTGATGTTGTTACATATTTTGGCACATTAACAGTATTAAAGAATAAAGCTAAAAATACATGAAATTCCATTTATGATAATAGGATTCTTTAAAGAACATCATTAACATCATTGAAAATATTTTTACACTGAAATGTTTAGTCCAGCAAATTTAAAAATTAATAAATTACTGTATTGTTGTATTTAGCTGCTAAAACAGAGATGTCAAACTCAAAGCCTGTGGGCCAAATCCAGCCCATGGGGTGCTTAGATCTTGCCCATGGGGCTGCCCTGGGAATAGTAAAGGACCAGCCCGTGATCCCTCTGCCAGCAAAAACAGGGCTCAGAAGGTTCTGCGTACGTTGCATGCCGCCCTCCTGAGCTCCGTTTTCCCTGGCAGAGCACTTGGACCACCACACGAGTAACATTGAGCTGGCCACATCCACTCGGCCCCTCCAAGGTCAAACACAACCCTGATGCAGCTCTCAATGAAATCAAGTTTGACACCCCTGTGCTAAAATATTGTCTTAATCATTTATCTCTGGAAATGCTCATGAGTACCCTGCAACATATACCATTAAGGATTAATTTTCATAAAGCATTACACTTTCACAAGTTTAATGGTTTTCCCCTAAATTATAACATCTGAACTTCATAATGAATAAAAAAACAAACTTGTTACAATGCTTTAGAATGGGGACTGGGTGGGGTTCGTTCTATAGTTCTTTCTTCAAACTATACCTGAGCACAAGGGAAGGTCCATTTCTCAAGACAATCATTCATCAAGCAACCACAAAAGTTCCCAAGCACTGTCTGTCCAGAGGACAAAGGAGATTAATTTCCAGGTTTCTCCTTAATTCGGGACAGTTCTTCAGACTGCAAGGGGCCCACCAAAGCCTCAAAATCAGCTGCACATCAATTGTTGCTAATTCAAATTACCATTTCCCCCCTCCCTGAAGCCTAGATATCCTCACCAGAAATCTCTAACCATTTCCTAGGCATTTGCTTAGTCTGATGAATATTAAATGAGCATTGTTAGGCTAATAGTGATTTCTGGTGGAGAGATGTTTAGGTCTTTTTGCTCTCCTTTTAGCTTGTGATTGTCTGTTTTGTATAGTCTATAGATATTATTTATGTCCATGTGTCTATTGATGGCTAATTTGTCAGAGTGCCAGCCTTTTAGAAATGGGTCTAGGACAACTCACCACAGCCAACTCACTGCAAGACAATTGCAGGATAACACAATTGCCACAGGAGAATCGCTGCAGGAGAAGAGTTACACTAATATCAAAGAAATGATGAAATAGAAACATTAAAGAAAGGATGTCAAAGGAGGGACAAAATGACATGTGAATGACAAAGAAGACCTGGTGCCCTTTTTGTGGCAAAAAAATTATAAAACAGGGTCTTATTTTCAGGGAAACATGGGTAGCCACTAGAATAAAGAAAACTCCACACCTTACTAGCACTGATGAAGTTACCTAGTTTGGATAATGAAATGTCTGCAAGAAAACAACCAAGCTCAGAGGATACCAAAGATCCCTCATTTTAACCCTCGGCTACAAATATTTGCCTTTAAATTCTAAGCTATTGTATCAATTGAAGTCATATAGGTA